CGTCAAGATTCCAAAGAAAGGAGATCTGAGCAAATGTGAAAACTACAGAGGCATTACACTACTGTCAATACCAGGGAAAGTCTTCAACAGAGTGTTGCTGAACCGGATGAAGGATGCAGTAGACGCCCAACTTCGAGATCAACAAGCTGGATTCCGTAAGGATCGGTCGTGCACAGACCAAATTGCAACACTACGGATCATCGTCGAACAATCAGTTGAGTGGAACTCATCACTATACATCAACTTCATTGATTATGAAAAGGCATTCGACAGTGTAGATAGGAGGACATTATGGAAACTTCTTCGACACTACGGAGTTCCTGAGAAGATTGTCAACATTATCCGGAACTCATACGACGGACTACAGTGCAAAGTAGTGCATGGAGGACAGCTGACAGATGCATTCCAAGTAAGGACTGGAGTCAGACAAGGCTGTTTACTCTCTCCCTTCCTCTTTCTTCTGGTGGTCGACTGGATTATGAAGACCTCGACATCTGAAGGAAAACACGGAATACAATGGACAGCTCAGAATCAATTAGACGATTTGGACTTCGCAGACGACCTAGCCCTCCTATCACGTACACACGAACAGATGCAGATGAAGACAGCCAGTGTAGCAGCAGTCTCTGCATCAGTAGGCCTCAGCATACACAAAGGGAAAACCAAGGTCCTCAAATTCAAAGCGGAAAAAGCAATCCAATCACTCTTGATGGCGAAACTCTGGAAGATGTAGAGTCCTTCACATACCTAGGAAGCATCATCGATGAACAAGGAGGTTCAGATGCAGACGTAAAGGCGAGGATCGGCAAAGCAAGGGTCGCATTCCTACAATTGAAGAACATATGGAACTCAAAACAACTTTCAACCAATATCAAAGTGAGAATCTTCAATACGAACGTCAAGGCAGTTCTACTGTATGGAGCTGAAACTTGGAGAACTACAACAACCACCATCAAGAAGGTACAAGTATTTATAAATAGCTGTCTACGCAAGATACTCAACATCCATTGGCCGGATACCATCAGCAATAGCCTTCTGTGGGAGAGAACAAATCAACTTCCAGCTGAAGAAGAAATTAGGAAAAGACGATGGAAATGGATAGGACATACATTACGCAAATCGTCAAACTGCATCACGAGGCAAGCTCTAACTTGGAATCCTGAAGGGAAGAGGAAAAGATTGAGGCCAAAGAACACATTGCGTCGGATAATAGAAGCAGATATGAAAAGGATGAATAACAACTGGAAGGAGCTGGAAAGGATTGCCCAGGACAGGGTTGGATGGAGAATGCTGGTGAGCGGCCTATGCTCCTTTACGGGGAGTAACAGGCGTAAGTAAGTAACTGGCACGTGGTCTTCCTGTTGTGGTGATCATAGTCAAACGCGACTCGACGCCACACTACAATACCTTCACATCTAGTGCTGTCCATTCCGACTTTGGAGTTTTGGTCTCCCATCAGGGTGTTCATGTTCTTTCCTAGGCACTTCGTTATGATCTATTGCAGCCTCTCATAAAATGGATCTTTATAGTCTTCATGGCTTTCATTGTCGGGTGCATAAGAATGGATAACATTCATCTTTGTACTTACCCTTACCAATATATTTCTGTAATAACGTCGTTTGTATTGCATGGTCGTCAAAGTAGCCATAGCACCTAGTAGGCGTGAACTGTTTAATCAAAGGAAGGCCTACAACGACGTGAAGTGACCGCAGACGGTCACGAAAACGATCTGTCTCTAGAGCACGAGAGACAGATAAGCCTGATTAGTGTTGGTATAACCATAAGTATGGGAAACATTCCTGAAATGACAGAAAACCCTGCAGTTTCCCGTAATCCAAACCGACCGACACGAAAAACGTTTCGGGAAACTTCCCAGCCGGCACGCGTTAACGGCAACCATAGCCGGCGAACACAACCGTCTGTTATACGTCACTGATGTGATTACAAAAGTTAGCTACTTAGTCTACATTGGCGCAAAAGTTAGCGTTCTTCCAGTGAATTCTAACGACCTACTGCACGGACCGGTTTTAGACTTACAGGAGGCAGACTGAAAACTGATCGGCACATATGGTAGATAATATGTGTATCTTAACGTGGATTTATGCAAACCCATTCACTGGATCTTCGTTGTTGTAGATGTTTTTATGTCGATCATGGGTGTAGGCCTGCCGAAACATCACAATCTACTCATCGACACACTCAAAACGAGATTAGTATATGGAAATATTGCTTCATCTGTTTCTGTAACTTCTCTGTCCGCCTGTAGACTACCACCAAGTCACAGTAATGCACACTATCAATCCACACTAACAACAAATACTCAATAATTACCCCAAGATATACCACATGAAACCGAATTTACCGTGTATAGCCAACAATGCTGCACACCACATTACGGCTACAGGACCATTCATATTCACGAAGACACACCGACTAGTCCCGAAAAGCTAAGGTTGGCTAAAGACGAATTTGAACATATGGTAAATTTGGGAATCACTCGGCCATCAAGTAATCCATGGGCATCTCCCTTCCACATTAATACTAAGAAGGACAGCGACGATTGGCGTCCAACTAGTGACTATAGACGACCATCATCGTTAATCGCCGCTGCACATTCGCTATTTAATAGCTACCTTGAAAGGTACAACTGTTTTTTTTCAAAAATCGACTTGGTTAAAGCATACAAATAAATTCACATGGCTGCGGATGACATTCTTAAAACCGCTATCATCACAATATTTGGTCTCTACGAATTTTAGCGCATGTGTTTTTGGTTTAAGAAATGCTGCGCAAACACTCCAGGGTTTCGTCGGTGACGTTTTTCGAGGTCTCAACTTGATACATGCGTCCAGTATCTAGACCTTATTTTAGAACAACTGCAATAAAACAGCATTACTGAAAGCACTCAGGAATTTCACACTGTAACTGACTCTGTAGTTTTCATCGGACATCCCACTGACACTCAAGTCGTCCACCCTCTGAGAAGTAAAGTGGTGGCCATGCTGAATTGTCTAGAATCGTCTACAACCAAGCAACTGCACATGTATAGCGGCCTAGTAAGTTTCTATGAATGGTTCATATAGAATTACGCGTCTCTTATGAGATCTTTAACCTGCCAACTTCGTGGGGATGCAAAACTCATCAATTTGGACGACAATGCGAAGAAAGCATTCTAGCACACCAAACAATACCTGAGAATCAATAAAAATATTCTCAACAAGATGGGACCAGATACCTATCTTCAGGGATTCCAGCAATCTTTCCAGGCATACAGCCAAAGGCTAACAGACACACAGTGAACCACTTGAGCTTTGTCAAACACGACCTCATTGTTAATAGTCCGACAACATGTAGCACAACAATTAGGTAACAAAAGGTAAGTCTTTAGTTAAAGTCACATAATAAAAGCTGGGATGAGGAAAACTGAAGAACATGAAGTGTAGTTAAACGAAGGTTCTAGCATCGATATGCCTAGAGGCCCTACGTACTGATCATAACGTTTTAAAACCTTTGGCGGTTGTCACACGGCAGTGTGTAATAGATTTTAAGTCAGTGCTAGCGATGACTTCTAAGTCAGTATGCGTCTGGATAGCAAGTAGAATAATGTTATCTTCCGTGTGTGCATCTTTGGTTTGATGACCAATATGCATCGTAATGCACTTGAAAGCATTTATCGGCAACTGTCAAATGTTAAACCAGTCAACCTACCACCTTTACTATTTATCGCTCGTTATATATTGACATCGTCAGAATATCGTGTCTGTAAGTTATGGAATATCCTACCAAAATATATAGCGATGGGATCTTCTACCGACTGCTCCAACAAAAGGCTCAATGATTATTTTAGCTCTGTGAGTACTAATTGGGATTACTCCAGGTGTTATACTTCCACCACTTTCATTATTATTTACTTAATTTTATTTACAGGGGAATACAACAAGGACTATACCTCTCCATAAATGAGAACTGTCTTCTAATAACCGGATGCAAATTCCAAGGGATAAACAATCCGCTAGTTCTATCTTGCAAAGTCTAAGGCTTGACATCGCTAGGATGAGCACTGATTTGAAATTGTGCGTTACCGCTCCGTGGTTACCCTAATCTCGAACATTTGTTGCTACAAATTGTTATGAACTGCTTACACTAGTTAATGTAAGTACACTCGGTGCCTACTGAGTCTCCAGTTCAGATTTTCACTTGTTTTACTTTCAAGCTTTCCTTACACACTTCTACAAACGCTGTCTCAGGACCCAAACTTCCTTCAGATCAGGCAAAAAAAACTACAACCTGTCGAAACATATGAGCAGGAATACGTTAGTCATCCCCTCTCTTCATATCTATTATTTAGCAATAGGCTTAGTTGTCTGTCTTGTTATAAACGCCGCCGTAAATGTACGAAAAGTAGTGGCTCAGACTATGCTAACTGTGTAAACAAGCAAACCCTAAACGATACTAGACAGGCTGACCAAGATGGAAGTGCTAAGGAGACTTTATCTCTATCAACCATTAGTCACACTCCGGGTGCTGGGGACGGGGGTTCAGCTAGTTTAGGGACTGGTCTACGGTTCACCAACTTGATGGAATTGATGCTTCAAAAGTGAATTTATTATGTGAGGGCAGCAGCAACAACACGTCATCCGTATTAGGCGTTCTCAACAGAGTAGAGTTCTGTGATCGTTTAGAATCCATAGTTCTTCGGCTTGAAAGGATAGCACAAACAATAACACCAGGTAAGTCTTAAGTCGATTTGTTCATTACACAGAAAAAACTCCTGGACTGGTTGCTTTTGAACTGATAATTGCTAACAGCCTTAAAAAATATGTCGCATGTAGTAAAAAGTTGGGAGGAAACATACAATCTCAGGTAACTACAATCCATTGTCTATTTGTAGTCATTATGTGTCCAAAACGCTTTCGGCTTCGTCAGGGATCTCATTGAACTATCCAACATTTATAGCAAACCAACTGAAGTGGATATGGATGTTCACTTAAAGCCTCTTCATTTTAAGATGATTGAAATAGCAGTACGTTAATTCTCCGTAATAACTTAAATGAAGTCAAGAACTTCAGGGTTGGAGCTATGTCCGTGCGGAAGTGTCAGCTATCAACCATTGCAGATTCTGTCCTTATACTGAATTGGGTTGGGTCTGTAAGTCTACATATTCGTGATATAACAAATCTTAGTCTTCAGCATCGCAGTACGTTAAAGAATTGAAGGACTCAACATGGTTGAACGCTAACAAAGTCTTTCAGTATTGTCGTGAGAGGTAAGTTATCTCCTGGCATAAAAGCGTGAATACTATTATTAACCAGATGCGGCAATGTTCGCTCTGTGGATTCCTTACTGTTTGCTCCTAAATGTCTAAGGATTACTTGATGTAACTAAGTGATTGACTCGAAATGGGTTATTGGGTATCACGCCTGTAAAGCCTTGGACCAGAGAATACATGCTTACTCTGTTATCGAAGCACACTTTCGCATCTGAACTTAGTAAGGTAGGTCAAAAGTTTGGACTCATTTTGGTTTTGTTCGTATCAAGGTTCACATTTACTGTCCTTGTCTTCATAGTAAGTACTTTAATAGTGTGTATGCCTACGTACTTAGAATTCGTCAAGTGTGTTAATAGTAAAGACTTCACTAGGGGAAAGTTTGTTTCATGTAAGTTAGCTTTTGAAACCTGTTACAGTCTTATGCATGTCATTAGTTAGTATTCATATATAGTGGAAATGAATATTTATACAATTCTAACGAGTTGATTTCATGAATTAAAATCGAAAAGCAGTTGTACAATAAATAACGGTCAGTAACTATTCAATTGTCTCTGTAAGTCGATTATTTTGCGTCATTAATTCTCGAAATGAATAAATTCACATCATTTTACTTCGATGATCCTTTTTTTTTAAAAAAAATTATGTATCACAGTATTGATGCATTGACTAATGTTTACCGGTTTAGTGGAACTGATGTAAGTTAGTTCACTCAGGTACTCAGAGTTGTTGAAATGGAAAGCCACCAACTTATATTTATACCATAGTCTGCCCCCAAATGCCCTGGTATGGCCGAGAGTGGGGTGGGTCCGCCCTCCCTCTCTAAATACTCTCACACGGCCACGCGTATACAGCCTCTGCCAGGAAAGTCCTACTCACTGCCTTCTCGTGGCAGGAGTGTTGTTTACGAAAATGAGAGGACGAAAAGCGAATGCCCGGCGCTTTGGCCGAATCCCGAACCAATGGTGCACATGGGCTCCAGTATCCTGCGGGAACAAAAGGCGTATGAACCGACTTTCGGTCACCGGCCACCATGGAACTGCATCTCCTTACGATGCTCCACTGCCTTGTGGGTCAGACCTTCAGGTCGAAGGCTCGGGGAGTGGCCCCCTAAGAAGACCACCTGCTTCGGTTTGGGCACCCGGGTAGTATAACAGCCCACACGCAAATGATGAACTATATCTATGGAAACTACTTTTCTCGCTTCGAACAACAATCAAATGATTCAAATTATTATTATTATTTACTACGACATTATTCACCCTCTTTTATTCTTACTCTGTCTGTACTTATCTTTTCGACTTATACAGCAGCTCGTCTTTGGTGGAAATTCGACTCTATCTAAACGTTCTCGAGTCACTGTCCGGTTAGGCTGTCCACTTTCTCCATTTTTGTTTAACTTCATCATAGACCTATTGATAGAAATAACATTCTCGTCGACTGAATTCTCGGGTATTGATCTCCTACCAGGAGGTCCACTTATCGACTTAGAATACGCAGATGACATAGTCCTGTTTGGTGAAGACGCTGACAAAATGCAGTCTTCTGGTAGCATTAAGCAACAATGCCAGAATGTTTGCAATGTGCTTCTCTCCCTCGAAATGCAAGTTGTTGCTTCAGGACTGGTCTGCGTCAACACCTGAACTAAGGATAGGGAGTGAAGTAGTCGAACGGGTCGAGAACTTCACTTATCTTGGAAGTCTGATCACCCCTAATGGGTTGGTATCGGACGAAATCTCAGTACGGATTCGAAAAGCTCGTTTGGCTTTTGCCAACTTACGTCACCTTTGGCGAAGGCGAGATATCCGTCTATCAATTAAGGGACTAGTATACTGCGCATCAGTTCGTTCTGTTCTACTTTACGGCTGAGAAACATGACCTTTAAGAGTAGAAGACACTCGTAAGCTACTAGTATTTGACCACAGATGCCTTAGAAATATTGCTGGCGTCTGTTGGGATCACCGGGTAAGTAATAGTGAGGTTAAACGCAGGGTATTAGGGAATGAAGATGGTAAATGAGTTGATAAGTTTGTTAATGTTCATCGACTGAAATGGTTGGGTCACGTGTTACGTATGCCTCAACACCGATTACCACGAGGTGCAATGCTAACCGGTGTTGGAGATGGTTGGAAGAAAGTTAGAGGCGGCCAAACCAAAACGTGGCATCAGTGCTTGAAGTCACTAACTTCTAGTCTGAGCCATGTTGGTAGATGCAGACTACTTGGTTGGGGTCCACGTGACTATCGTAACCAATGGTTGGAGATTGTGGGTGACGTGGCTCAGAATCGATCACAATGGCGTTGGTGTAGACACTCTCTGTCTTCCCTTAAACTAAGAGATTAAAATCGCTTCATATCTTTCTTCCTACGAACTAATTCTTTCTTCCTGTACTATATCCTTATTGCAATCTTTCTTTTATATATTACCACCTCTGAATTAACTACTTTTATGAATCCGGTGTCCATCTTGTTGTGTTAATGAGGTATGGCAACTTGGGTTGATGTATATATGTGCCTGGTCCTACGTCGTAGCTGACTGACTGACTGACACTGTCCGGTTGAAAGTTGTATGTTACCACCGAATATGAGTACTGAAGCAGTTTTTCTGAAACCAACATCGGTCAGACTGTCCTGCCCTCCATGGACGGTGACGACTGATCCACCAAATGAGGCGGAAGTCCCCAAGGAACTCCAACTCTTGAAGCGTTACAAATCACCTGGCCCAGATGACTTACCTCCGGCTCTTTTTAAAGATGGTGGTGACTTTCTGACTAAGGAATTAACGACGTTGTTTACAAAGGTTTGGGAACTAGAGAGTGTACCAACGTCATGGAATGAGTCGATAGTTGTCCCTATCTTTAAAAAGGGTTCACGTCGTTCCTGTAACAACTATCGGGGGATAAGTTACTTCCGATTGCGTCCAAGCTATTGGCTTCCGTCATACTTCGTAGGTTGTTCAAAACCCGAGAAAGATTGACTCGCGAGGAGCAGGCTGGGTTTCGTTCTGGTCGAGGATGTATTGATCATATCTTCACCCTCCGCCAAATGTTAGAACACCGTCATACTTATCAAAGGCCAACAATCGTAGTGTTTCTTGACATCAGGGCTGCCTTCGATTCGTTGGATAGGACTGTTCTCTGGGATTGTCTATTGAAGAAGGGTGTGCCTGAGAAGTTTATTAACATCCTAAAAACCCTATATACAAACACCTCAGGCAGAGTGAGGGCATACAACCACCTCTCTCCATTGTTCCATTCGAGCAGTGGGGTTAGGCATGGTTGCCCAATCTCACCATTCCTCTTCAACTTTGCCATCGATGACATTCTGGAAACAGCTCTGATGAATGTAAGTAATGGTGGTGTGGATCTGTTGCCTGGAGAAAGACTTCTCGACCTTGAGTATGCGGACGATATTGTCTTACTGTGCGATAATGCCCAAGGCATGCAATCCGCACTTAATCAGTTGGGAATCAGTGTCCGTAGGTATGGTATGTGCTTTGCACCTTCGAAGTGCAAAGTACTTCTACAAGACTGGCAGGATTCTAATCCTGTACTCACTCTGGATGGTGAGCAGATAGAAGTAGTCGAGAAGTTCGTGTATCTGTGTAGCTGCATAAGTGCTGGTGGTGGCATAAGTGATGAGGTCACAGAGATGATAATGCAATTGGTGTCACCATCTTGAAACTCCGACTTCGGTGGCTTGGACATGTTCTACGAACATCATCCCAGAGAATTCCACGTCGTGCATTATTTGCCGACTCTGGGACTGGTTGGAAAAAGCGGAGAGGTGGTCAGTGTATGATATGGTATTGTGATTTGAAAGAAAGAAGTACAGGACTGGCTTGTGTTGGTCCTTCATGACTCCCTAGCTGGGGTCCTAGAGATAGTGCGACACAGTGGCTGGAGACGTCAGATATGGCTCAAAATAAAAGCCAGTGGCGATCCTGCTGTAACCTTCTTTTACTTTCTTCATAAAAAGTGGTTGTGTCTCCTTTAACTGAAAGATTTTTCCTGATTGTACCTTTCCGTTCCCTCACTATCACTACACTACCTTACACCAATCTCTTCGTTATTGTTCTCTTTTTTACGCTCCTTACTTTTTTTTCTCTTCGAATTCTCATTGTTTTGTGTGGCACATATATATATTGGCGCCCTCTTGTACCAATATTTATGTGTTCAAATAAATACCATAATCTGTTCGGCTTTATTTAGGAATGTTTGTCTACTATTGCTTTTCCTTCCAGTCAGTCAAGTCTATCGGAAAGATGTGTTGTGTACGATACCAAGTCTAGGATATTTTCCTTTTATCACTTTTTGCAAATGAGAAAGTAATTTTTTCTCACTTTACATGTCCTTTTTACTGTGATTTTTGTATATAGCCTTCCTGAACATGTTGAGTGGTTACGCTCATGGCTTTCTTGTCTGGATGAATTGTGCGCAGTTGTTGGAGAGCATTTTCCATACGGTCTAAAATGGAATAAAAATGGTCCCAAACTACCCTTACCAACTGTTGAAATACGCCCAATTCAGTCTTTGCAAGAGGGTCGTACCAATACACATGAAAGAACATCAAAAAAGGTAACAAAGTGTTTTTATGTTGCTCAGACTATCAGTTTTGCTACTTGACATCTCTCCAATTTTTATTACTGTGTAGACATTTCAACGGTCAACTGCGTTATTATCCTGGCATAAAAAGTGATAATAAGAATTACAACACTAATCAATCTTACTTTGGGCAAAAATACATACATTGCCGTATAACGTATCTATTTGTTGAACTGTTTAAACTGAAGCCTTTTAGATTTGTTTATTAAATGATAAGATCTGTGTAGTTGATTTAACTTCATGATTCAGATGAATACTTCGAAAAGTAACTGCCATGAATAGCTTCGTCTAACCTCATAGAAAAAAGTATTGACTAGTAGGCTTGTTTAAGACTAAAAGGAGTAAAACAGCCTATTAAAGCATCAACTCCAGCCGTTTCCTCGAATTTGCATATTTTCTTATCCTTAAATATTAAGGTTAGTTTTCGCTCCAAATTTATATATGATGAGTAGTTTTGTTCAGAGTGACATGTTTTAATAATCTGTACTAAATCGGACAGAGTGCTTATGTTCATATGACAATTAGATTTTGCATTTAGGTGCGAAATGATGTAAAAGACACTTTAGTGATATTTGACAGCACATAAAATGATATCTTTTCACACAAATTCTAATATATTTAGAAATGTATTATTCATTATATAATGTTTGTAATCTTACGTTCCAGATATTAAAATAGATCTTTGAAAAGGATATAAGTGGTCAATTGTTTTGTGTGACGAAAGGATTAATATTACCGAGATTTCTAGTCTAACAATTTTGTGAGAATTCATTGAGGCCCAGCAAATTTATTATACCTCGAAGTTAGATGTCATGATCTGTTAAAAACATTGGTCGACGGGTTTTCAAAAAACTTTTGCTACCAACATCCCGAGTTAAGTAGTTAAAATGATATGGACGTTTTAATTGTAAGATGGTAACGCATCACAAAGAACTAATTAGAAAGGTGAAATGAAACATTAAAAGAGTGGTTTTTGAATCGTAGGAACTTAATCTCAAACGAAAACGTAATGTGTTTATACCAGTGTAATATATACAAATAAAATGAAATGACAATTACTGAAATTAATATAAATAAATAATATATTTGTAATATCCCAATGAGTAGAAAAATTAGATCTTCTGACGTTTCGTGACTTCGTGTAAGCCACTTCTTCAGAGAACAAATAAATGACCAAATAAAAATTAATTCAAGTTTAAATAGTATTAAATAGATATCCCGATATATATACTTTTTGAACGCTCCTCAACTACAATAAGTCCTACAGATAAGGGGCCAAAGAGATTGTGAATCCGCTCGTAATCGGTAACAAATCAAAATTAATCCAAGTTTAAATAGTACAACGGAACAACAAGAATACTATTTATTTATAACAATCTACCCACTGTTCAATTTATTCTAAATTATCAAGTCAAACATTGGTAATAATACCTACAAACTATATCATAGTTTGCTGCAGAGGTGTATGGAGATCAATTTAGTTTATAGATAGCCTTTGTCACAGACTAGTTGACTTCAACCATGCCAGAAATAAGATAGTTGCCTGCTAATGACATGGGACGATTGTCTCATCATATGGCCAATTCATTAAAATCAACGTATTTTGACTTAGTATTGGTCTAATTATAACGTGCTCATCGTGAGGTATGAAGATCTTAGTTTCAAGACTTGACTGGATCATAGATACACAATGTCCCATGATTTTGAGTGGTCATTTAACTGGTGAAAGTTCGTGCTGAAAACCATCTACAATTACCTGGACAACAATTTATCAAGAAATATGAAGTTCAAGTTAATTATATACAGTAAACTTGAAGTCAGATGCTGTCAATAGAGATGAAAGTGCAAACACCAAGCAAAATATATGTTCAATCAAAGAGAACAACACACGAATCGATACTCTTCTCGCCATCATTCACACTTTATGTAAGAAATGTGATTACTACAAAGTATATATATAGGGATATCCACTTAATATTTGATAACTTTCCACCAAATTCTAATCGAAGTTAACATAAACAGTCATGTAGTTTTTTTACCGAATAAAATTTCCTAAAGATTATATCTTCCCAGTCAGCATTCATTTCGCGAATCGTTTGTAGACCGAAAGTGTTATCAGTATAGTGGTCTGATCTTGTTCAGTTAAATAACCATGACGGGAGTTTCATGACTCACCAGTCAGTCAACTGTTTATCTTGTCAAATACTTCACTATTCATAATTTTTAGTGAATGGTTATTTTTCTCAATCTTTACAAAATTGAGATTAAAGTAAACATGTTACCGATTACGAGCGGATTCACAATCTCTTTGGCCCCTTATTTGTAGGACTTATTGTAGTTGAGGAGCGTTCAAAAAGTATATATATCGGGATATCTATTTAATACTATTTAAACTTGAATTAATTTTTATTTGGTCATTTATTTGTTCTCTGAAGAAGTGGCTTACACGAAGTCACGAAACGTCAGAAGATCTAATTTTTCTACTCATTGGGATATTACAAATATATTATTTATAACAATCTACACAATGCTCAATTGATTCGAAATGATCAAATCAGACTTTGGTAATGATGCCCACAAACTGAAATTACTGTTCTTGCTCCAAATAGAATTCAAACAACTCATTTCCATTTGATAAAATTCATCTTGATTTTTATTTTTTTCGTATGTTACGTCATTTCACTCTTCTTTACTCCCACTTTATGTATCCTTATTTTCCGACTTACGCAGCAGCTCGCCTATAGCGGACACCCTGTTCTCTCTATACGATCTCGAGTCACTAACTGGTCAAAAGTTTGACGCTACCACCGAATACGAATACTGAAACAGCCTCTCTGAAGCCACGTATACCATTCAAAATGACTTCCTTCCACGTTCTCACACCAATGCAGATCGGACAATAGATAGGTTGGCTATGTGTTTAGAAAGTCTTAATATCAATGTCTGTTGTCTATCCAAGACCTGTATTCAAGACCAGTGATGTACTACAAATTTGCTTTCCATCTGTCGCTTCGTAAAGCTTGTTTACGTGAGTTTATCCGGGGCCCCTGTGGCATCTTCGTCTGGTTTTTCTGACATTAGTATCGCATAAAGCGCTAGGGCTGAGGTAGCACTGATCAACTGGATCACCATTAACAGTCGGTTATACGCTGTTAGATTAGAATGTCCCATTCAAGTGAGAGGAAATCGGTGTGAGAAGCGATATATTTCGTTCTCTCCGCATATGCTCCGACAGATTTTTTGCTCGGATTCGATTAAGGATAAAATTTACCACCATTTTACTGTTCTACAGAAAATGCATTCGGCAGGTATTGTAGTTCTAGCTGGAGAGTTGAATGCTCATGTCGGACGTCTAGGCACAGACGAGAGTCATTTAGGTAGCCGATAGGAACTTGGTCGCAGGTCAGATAACGGGGACCGTTTACTGCAGCTGTGCGCAGACCACAATCTGTTTCTCGCTAGCACTAACCACCGGTAAAATCATCGCCAATGTGCAACCTGACGCCCTCCCTCTGCATCCCAAGCCTGGACTCAGATTACTTACATCACGATCAACTACCGCTGATGTGGTTGTGTATAAAACTGCCACTCCTTTTGGAGTACCTATCTAGACTCTGATCATGCCCTTGTTTGCTCTAATCTTACCTTACTTTTCGATGGCCAACAGATTCATCGACCTAAACGGATCGATGTCAGTAACTTGATTGCAGCTTCTGTTGCAACTGAATACCAAATCGACCTAGGTTCAAGGCTAGCTAACATCCTATCGAAAAGTATAGATGAGCATTGGTTGCAATTGCATGACGCCATCAAAATGGCGAGTAAAGTCGCTTACGGCTTCGCGAAACGTCCCGCTTATGAGCACTAAGTTTCTTCAGGTTCCTTACAACTCATTGAAGCCCGTCGGTGTACTCCGGGTGACCGTAAGTTTGACCACAAACGAAATGTGTTACGTAATGGAATTGGACCAAGAAGCCTGGTAGTCGGAGCGTGCCAATGAGTTTAAAGCAGCAGTTGCATCTGGTAACTGCCAGAAGCTCTTTCAACTCATCTGATCCATTGGCAGCAAAACGTCTGTGAAGCTGACGGGATCCTAATCACTAACATCTATCGGCGTCTTGGACGATGGGCAGAGTTTTTCCAGGGGAAGTTCGACTGGTCTGCTGCCCCGGCAATATCGATCGGGCTGTCCTGCCCTCCATGGCCTGTGACGACTGATCCACTGAATGAGACAGAAGTCCGCAAGCAACTCCAAATCTCAAAGCGCTACAAATTACCGGGTCCAGATGACTTACCTCTGACCCTTTTTAAAGATGGTGACGGCCTTCTGGTTAAGGAAAAGACTGCGTTGTTTTCAAAGGTTTTGGAGTTAGACAGTATTCAAACATCATGGAACGAATCGATAATTGTCCCTATCTTTAGAAAAGGTTCACGTAGTTTCTGTAACAACTATTGGGGGATAAGTCTACTTCCGATCGCGTCCAAACTATTTGCTTCCGTAATACTTCGTTGATTGTTCCGAAATCCGAGAGCTTGACTCGCGAGGAGCAGACTGTTTTCGTCCTGGTCGACGATGTATTTCTACAAGATTAGCAGGACCCTGATCCAGCACTCACTCTGTGTAGCTGCATACGTGCTGGTGATGGCATAAGTGATGAGGTCAATTCAGGTATAATGAAAGCCAGAGCAGCTTATGCCAATCTGGGCCATCTTTGGCGCCTTCGTGATGTCAGACTGGCAGTAAAAGGTCGGATCTACAACGCGTCGGTGAGAGCAGTTCTGCTCTATGCTTATGAAACCTGGCCTCTCCGAGTTGTGGACGTTAGACGACTCTCTGTGTTCGGTCATCGATGTCTCCGAAGGATTGCTGACATCCAGTGGCAACACCATGTTAGTAATGCAGGGTTTCGGCATCGTGTGTTCGGCACAGAGATGATAATGCAATTGGTGTCACCATCTTGAAACTCCGACTTCGGTGGCTTGGACATGTTCTACGAACATCATCCCAGAGAATTCCACGTCGTGCATTATTTGCCGACTCTGGACTGGTTGGAAAAAGCGGAGAGGTGGTCAGTGTATGATATGGTATTGTGATTTGAAAGAAAGAAGTACAGGACTGGCTTGTGTTGGTCCTTCACGACTCCCTAGCTGGGGTCCTAGAGATAGTGCGACACAGTGGCTGGAGACGTCAGATATGGCTCAGAATAGAAGTCAGTGGCGATCCTGCTATAACTTTCTTTTACCATTCTTTATAAAAAATGGATGTAACTTTAACTGGAAGAATTTCTGGTTGTACCTTTGCTTCCTGGACTGCTTCTCCCATTATTATTATTATTATTACTATTAATTATTATTATTATTATTATTATTTCAATACCGCACACCAATTTCTGTTCATTGTTGTTCCCCTTCTTATACGCACCTTACATTATTTATCTCTTCACATTCTCGTTGTTACTGTGATGTGTATATGTATCTGGTGCCACTTTGTACCAATATTTGTGTTCATACAAGTAAATAAATGCATTGTTTCATGTTATGCAAATTTTCAAACCAATTTATTGTTTCTACTGAACACTAGCCAGAGACTTAACAGTTCGTAATATCTTACATTATTAGTTGTTACTTTTGTAACCCATAAGGTCTAGTTTGAGAGGACTACAAGTAGTTAACCACTGGAGTGTTTTTCATCTGCGGATTAGTACTCTTATACCAACTTAGTAACAAATATGTATATGTACGGTTATTTTTGTGTATGAGATTATTCGCACTTGTAATTCGTTATTGTAATCAAGCTTGAACATATTAGTTTTGTTATAATCTGGATAACCGATTCATTGATGTTGGTAACGAAAATATCATAAATTGAAACTCCGTGGTTGATTGATCGATCACAAATGAGTTATACCTAGTTATTTTATTTCAGTTTCAATTTTTGTATTTTATTACTTCAGGCTTTTCATCCCAAATTATCAGTACAATCACAACCGGATCCAGTTGATGTCACTAAGTTGTTTGCTGAATTAGCAAGTGCTCATAAAAATTTACGCCATATCAGTGTATCTGATATACTCTGATAATGAGGATTCTAGTGAATATACCTTAAAAATATATAAAAGTCAGTTGGTCCAGGTGTGATGGTTACAGTAAGTAGTGTGAGTTGTTAATATTAAACGATACTGTTTTACTGATTTCATGCTATCTTAATTCTTATGGCTTTTGTATTTAAAGACCTCGGAAAACTTTTTACGTATCGAAATTTTAGGAAGACTATTAGAGGTTTGTAGCTCATTATTTTGATTATCAAGAGAAATACACAGACAAAGACAAAAGTTAGCAACAACCACTCAGAACCAATGTAAACACATTAAGCTGTTAATCATATGAGGAAAAATTCAAATCGCTGACCTCAGTCTGAAGTTTGTGCTGAAAAGAAAGTGAAAGCTTCACTACTAAACCACTCAACTCCGATGATTCAGTAGTATAAAAGTCATCTACACTCCTTAGCTCTTTGTTCTGCTAATTTCCTCTCACTATAATGTTATGATTTGTGGCAAAATGAGCTGATGTACTTTTATCCAGCGTCCTACATTATAAATGAATGACTTGCTACGGATGTAATGCGTGGAACCGTATATTCTTTAGCATAGTGCTTTGTGGTAATGTACGTGCAGTAGCAGTAAGTTCTTACATGTGTTAGTAAACTTACATAGCATTTAATCACTTATATATCTCATCACTTGCTGTGGTTATATTCATGTATATTTGACGTTATTTTCACAGGTCACACATCATTTGACTTCGCAACCTACAAACTGTGCCTTATTTCAGGGGGAAAAAGTTTCGTTTTATGACTGATCTTCTGTTGTGTTACTCGAAAATAACCATACATTTCACTTCATTATATCATGCATTTACACTATTGCTTGTTTATCCCTTTAATTATATACAGATATTTCTTGTTCTGCTTTTTTTTTTAATTTCTTTCAATTTATCATTAAAATTGAAGAGAAAGGAAAGCAAGAGTTTTAAATTATTCCACTTTTATTGATTTCAAGTAATGTATAATTAGTTTGTTTTTGTGTTTCGAAAACGTTCACAAAATTATTAACAACTAATATATATATCTTGTGTGGTGGATGTGCATACATTCTGCATGTTTTCTCAATTCGTTTTACAGATGAATTTCTAAATGCCTGTCTACGCATCATTCTTTGTGCTAGTAGATATAGATAGACACACAAAAATGGGTTGTACACGTCAGTATGTCAAGAAAAATAGGAATGGTTAAATACAACAATGTGGTTTTCTATGCGATGTTTCACGTAATTTAATGAATGATTCTTCATCACGAATTGATTTTATTTGTTGAGAGTAACTGAAAATCAAGGAACATCAGAAAACTGTTTTGTCATAGCTTGGAACTTCTAACCAGTAAACATTCATGATTATCCGCATATGTTTCGATTCGACACCGTATTTGTTAGCGAGAACAATACGCTACCGAATTCGAAAGTCAATAAATAAATAAGTCATAAGAAAACAAATTATTCAATTTAATTCAACGTGATGATTGTTCTCTATGTGTATAACTTTTAGCACAGGTTCGAAATGCTCGTTTAGCTTTTGCCAACTTACGTCACCTTTGGCGAAGGCGAGATATCCGTCTATCAATTAAGGGACTAGTATACTGCGCATCAGTTCGTTCTATTTTGCTTTACGGCTGTGAAACATGACCATTAAGAGTAGATATTCGTAAGCTACTAGTATTTGACCACAGATGCCTTAGAAATATTGTTCGCATCTGCTGGGATCACCGGGTAAGTAATAGTGAGGTTAGACGCAGGGTATTAGGGAATGATGGTAAATCAGTTGATGAAGTTGTGAATCTTCATCGACTGAGATGATTGGGCCACGTGTTACGTATGCCTGAACACCGTTTATCACGACACGCAATGCTGAATAGTGTTGGGTATGGTTAAAAGAAAGATTAAAATCGCTTTATATCTTTCTTTCTTCTTGTACTATATATCCTTATATGTAATGTTTCTTCTATACATTATTACCAGCGAAGTAACTACTGCTATGAATCCAGTGTTCATCTTGTTGTGCTAATGAGGTATGACAACTTGGACCGATGCATGTATGTGCCTAATCGTACGTTGTAGCTGACTGACTGAGAACTTTTAACATAGTATAGAAAAGAGTGGCTACAGTCATCAAGTTGTTATATATATATTTAAACGTTTGCTACGCTAACAACAACATGTTGTTCACTTTTAATTACTGATTGTTTTAAGTTTGATATCCTACATTATTTTGAATTTGTTAAATATATTGTTATTATTTAATAAATACTATTTTCATATCAGAGTGGTTTTGTGGATATTATAGTAATTTCAATGGTTGAGATCATGAGTCAATTGAAGCTAGACCTCCGCCCTACTAACTATGAAAAATAATCTCATTTCAATTGAAATCATGAACTGATCAATGTTAAAAAATTTGAAAGCATTGGACGGTAGTCTGACATTGATCAATTCATTATTTCAATCAAACTCAACAATCTTCACAACCCTATACTGATAATCTGATTTTTTTAGAGCGTGTTTTCAGTGTTACCAAATGGTTAAAAGAAATTTTGTTTTAAATCAACCAGTATTATTTCAAAATGCTCAATAATTCTATAGTTATTTAACTGCAATTATCACACTATATACAAGACATTCGTTTTAAACTTCATTTATATTAGATATAACCGTAGTGTTCCAAAATTAAGCATTATAATAAACAGATTACCTGAAAAGAAATATTTCTTCACCTTCTCAATAATAATTGTCTGAATGGGTATTTTTATTCTCTTAATGTTATCTAAATGACAAAGTTATATTTCTGGTTTCATGATCGAGAAATCTATTAGTATTCGCCAACACTATACAATACTACTTAAAAGATAAACTTTGAAGTGGATTCTTCCTCTCAACCATTCGTATTCTGTTAATCAAAATATTGAACTAGAAGTTACACTCTATATTTAATAAATAAAACTCCCAGTTTTTGTTTAATTCTTTAATTTCAAGGCGATTTTCATCTTTGTACAATGTTTGAAGCATCAACAACTACTATAGATAGCGATTGCACCACAGATGTTTTTCGTCTCTCTCTTGCTTTAGATCTTGAGTGTTAAAATCACCTCGTACTTTTTATCCTGCTAATCTGTTATTTTTGGGTCATAGTCTTTTCTGTTCTGGCATTTATCTTGATAATTTCATCTCACTGTATTAATGTGGTGTGACGAATTGAACCAATCCATGTTTGCACCAGGTTCTATGTAGTTTATAGCTAAACAACTGCATTAAGGATCAGAAAAATATGATATGGTCAGTGCTCAGTAATTGATAGATGTAAATCTCATACTTGTTCTGAAATTTTATTTACATTGCCATTGGTAAAATAAAGAGTTGTTGGTTCATGTAATGAACCTGTATTTCTTAATCTACCTCAAAACAGCGAATACTTGACAGTCGTTTAGGTTAATCCGGTAAATGGATTACTTGTCGTTTCATTTTCTCGAAAAAAAATAAACCGTTGTAAGCCTACTGAAATAGTATAAGTATAATACACTACATACGCATGAATAATCGCTAAACAGTTATTAATGCCAACCAAAGGATGAGTTCAGCAGCTCATTCCGTTATGCTTTATGGCTGTAAAACGTGGGTTTCCGGTAGTTGACCATAAACACCGAACCGTTGCTCGTGTATGTCCGGATAAACGAGTAGGTAGTGCTGAAGTCAGTTTAAGGTATAAGGTAAGGATGACAAATCAGTTGACAAGGTATTAAATCTTTACTAAGTTAGGTGGTTGGAGCATGTAGTACACCCTCCTACATCAATGGACGATGATTACCTATGTAAGAGTCGGTTGAAATATAGCTAGGACTGGCCAAATCAAACATCGTTTCAGTTCGTGTAGCCATTGACTATTGGACTGAACCTTGTGAGTAGCTGCAGATTACCTGGTTTAGAGTCCGCGCATTTATAGTACTCAATGGTTGGCAACGTTGGGTAATATGAACCAGAATCGTTTGCAATGGAATAAATGCATTCACTCTGTTTATCCTCAGATCCTAAGTTTCTTAATTGTCTTAAGAAAGTTTTCTATTCTACAAACACATACCCTCTCAAATCATATCTTCCATGCATAATATTACTTACTATCACATCTCCCTGTGCTAGTGAAATGTAACACACTAAACCGATGTGCATGTATCCCAAGTTCTCTGTTGTGTGTAACTAATTTGTTCAAAATGTTGTGCAACCATTTCGACTTTTACTTGCAACTTAACAAGGAAATATTAATGTTGAGATGGTGGAGAAGATTTGTAGCTCAGGTGGATGATTTTGGTGGAGCTCAGAGAACAAAACTCCACCAAAATCATCCACCTGAGCTACAAATCTCCACCATCTCAAAATCATATGAGCATAATACGCTTCTCGTTGTTCGAAAATGGGAGAATTTCGCCAAAATGCAGGCTTCCACTCGAGAACAACTATATTTTCTCCATGAGTGTCTTCGCCAGCATGTTCTACCAACAAGTGTAAGATATAGACCTCCAATCAACTGCCCATTAGGATGGAGAATAGCTGTGCAAAGTGGAAGAAAAATGGTACACCTAATGATAACGGATGCACACTACAGGATCCGCAAATACCAACACGTCATAGAGGACCAAAAGATAAAGCTACAAAGGATGCTCACATCAGAACATTTGGGAATCGTGACAACAGCCATCGAGATATCATGCAAACGACATAGAGAACAAAGAAGAAACACCTTAAAGAAAAAACTAATCAAAATCTCAAAACCATCCATGGAAGAAAACACAAACAACTGCATGATCAATCTGTCAAAACAACCACTAACAAATACGGAAGAACACCTGCTCCAAAAGGGATTAAACTACAATACAAGCGACGCCTCAAAGCTGGAGTTCTTCGCAGCACTAGAGTCATCACTCAAAACTTCCGGAATCAGTGAAGAAACACAACAGGAAATAAGGCAAACTATAGTACCG